AAAAAAAAAATAATTTTTAACGATACAATAGTCTTCGTTAGGCTTAACATGGACGAAAATTCAACGCGAAGCGACACGCAACGGAGAAAGATGTCAAGATGGGATAAAATTAATATATTTTTTCGTACATAATCGGTTATCCGAAACATCGATCTTACGAACCGCCCCAATCCCCAATTGATTCGGATAATCGACGCTCTACTTTATACCGAAAATCATTAATATAGTACAGAAGCGTTTGCAAGAGAAAATGGCCTTTCAAGTAAAAATGGAGCAATTTAAATCTTCATTGGCACGATCCGATTTTAAATATTTTTCAAACTTGCGAGTACTAAAAGAAAATGAAAAGGTTTCCGACCGGTTAAACATCTTGATAAATTAAGAGAAGACTTTAAAGCACGTTTCGAAGAATTGATGTAAAAATAGATAATGAAGGTAGTGAACCTGGCTTAGAAGATGAATTGTGTAGATCTCGAAGCTAAAGCGTTGTTTAAAAATAAAAGCCTCAGTCAATTTTGGAGCATTAAGAATATTGCTACTAAATATCCCAAGCTCAGAGCAGAAGCCGAACCATTCTTATTTGCATTCCCAACCTCATACATGGCTAAAGCTGGTTTTAGCCAAGCGAACGCAATTTCGACAAAACAGAGGAACAGATTGAACTTGAAAAACCGTGGTGATTTGTGACTAAAACTTATCAATTTTCAACTGAATATCAATAATCTTGCCGCTTCTCTTCAGAGACATCCATCACACTAATATCAACTATTTTAATAAAAAGGTATGTCTACATATTTTAAAGGCATTCAGTAGTAGTCGCAAAATGACAGTAAGAGGTTTTTTTTTCATCCAATATAACTAATGTTATGTTTTCAAAGATAAGTGTGTATTTTATGTATTATGACACGTACGGTTTAAGAACTATAGACAAATTTCCATCTATCCATAATTTTGCTATTATTTTTTAAGATTATAAACCAGTGGAAAATATCTCCTTTTTCTGTTAATGTTATTGGGTGAATTTTATAAAATATGGGAACTATAAATTCTTTATTTGGGTTGTTATGCGGGTCTCCTTATCGCTTAACATTAGAAATGCAAAAATGATTTAATGTTTTTGTTAAATACTTAATCTGGAGGTCGATAAGAAGGCAAATATTCTATAAAGGGGTCGACGGGACCCCTAGTATAAAACATCGACTAAGTTGCTTGTCACCGTTACCAAAGGTTGGTCACCTCCTCTTAGCTTTCAATCAGCCCAGACATTAAAAGACCTTTCAGGCCCTAGTGTAGCATCGCTCACACAATCTATTGTATAACCTCAATACTTTTTACTTTTTTTTAAAACCCTTTCCGCCCTGTGGGCACTAAGAGGGCCTGTTTTAGCTATCCCATTATAAGTTTGACCAGGCTCACTATGAGGCGGCCGGGTGGTGAAGGAGGGGGCCCGACATATCCGGATGGACCACCCCCCCGAAAAATTCCTGGGGATTTTTCGACCCGTCCGGATTCGAGCCCGGTTTCCCAGAGCGGTAGGCTGCTGCCTTGACCTCTCGTCCATCCGGCGGTCGCCCCTCACTATTAAGAAGGGTTAGGTCAATGGAATAAGGCCATTCAGCACTTAGATGATCTGTCGTGGGGATGCCTCACGAGAAGACTTTTGTGGGAAACTGGCTTCTATTTAGGTGTTACATACGTGGAGAAACCTCGAAATACCCCTGGCAGCCGCTGGTGTGTATGTGTGTGCCTGCGTATGTTTTGACGTCTGTTTCGTTAATATCTCAGAATGGGACAATGATTAAGAAACGATAATTTGATATGGTAACTTGTGTATAAGAGGCTTTGCTGTTATTAAAGTTTGGCAATTAAAGGTCAAAGGGGTGAGTAGATATAACGAGTCACGTGTCATATCCCGAGAAAGATCCGACTTAATAAAGATTTTATTATTATTATCATTTATAACTTTTTTAAAACTCATCTATACCCTCAAAAATAAGCTTTTCGGCATTTTATAATGATTAATAATATAAAAAGTTTTTTAATAACAAAATCTCTTAACAGACGGCGCCACACACAACTTTATTTATTATGATTAATAAGATAAAAGTTAATTTTTTCAATAAAATCTCTTAATATCCGGAAAAGTTACTCAACAGTTGCTGAATTTTTTATGAAAAAAAATATATTTTTTAATTAAAATTAGGTTTTCTATCTTTATAACAATAATTCTAAATTTATTATTTTATGTAATTTATTAAATAATAATACAAATATAATTATGTAAAACACTAATTGTACTGTACTACTGTTATTTAAACTGTATAACATATTTTTAAATTTTTAATGGAAGTGACGTAAATATTATTAAAATATCAGGAAATAAAAAATTAATTTTCATCTGATTACCGTTTTTCATTAAAAATATTAAAAGATTCTGTTTGTTTATTTGTTCTTGAAGTATTTTTGAAGATATCTTTTGCGAATTTCCTTGTTATTTTTAACCTTCTCGTCCATTTGTATAGAAACAGAAATACAATTTTTACATCTCAATTGTTTTTCTGTTAAATCCATCTTTTCCTCCTTATCTAAATAAATTTTCTTAATAAAATTCTTCCCACATTTTTCACAAATACAAGCAATTTCTTCAACATGAGTCTTCAGATGAGTCATCAATTCACTGTTTTCTTTAAATTTCTTTTTGCAGAACTTACAAATGCATATTTTCCCTTCACACTCTTTTGAAATTTCCTTAAAATAGAGATAATTTTCAATTAATTAATTCCGAATGTTGTCTATTATCATTAATTGCAGAGTTAATTACAATCAACTTACTTTAATGTGTATTGTATTACTAATGGTGCATAAATCAAAGTGCATACATGTATAGTGTATGCACTATCACTATCACTATACTATATTACAATTATAGTGTACAGTGTATTTAGTACTGGATTTTCTAATTAAACTGGTTTTGTAATTATTTGTTATATAAAAATCAGACTATAACATTATTTTTACAATTTTAGTGTTATTATACAGCACACATCTACTAATGAAACAATAATATTTATAGTTATGATTTTAATAGAAAGTCTCCATAGTAGTAAGTACTTTAATTAAGTGCTTATACTGTAGAATATTTTTAGTAGTAAGCACTTAATAGTAAAGACCACTCCAAATGGATAAAACCCCCTGAAAACTAGTAGCTGGTCGTGGGTTGCACCTCATTGGTGACGTAGAGTTTTCCGGATTTCTTTACGTGTCTGACACCTAAATGGGGGCCAGCTTCTCATAGAAAATCATTATTCTCTGACTCGTATTTTTCATGGCTCAGATCTAGAATTCCTCATATTCATTAAAGGAAAGGAATTTATTTAAATAACAATTATATAAATATTTGTGCTTACATAAAACAAATTCGATTAAGGATAATATTTGATGTATTTTTATTTAATATTATTAATGTTCACAAAACTGAAATGATATGGATTTTTTCGAAATTTGATTAATAATAATTGGAAAAGAAGTATCAAAGGAAGGAAAACAATATAAATCCATTTATCTTTGATGCTTACGAGCAGTGAAAGATGAGGAGGGAGCAATAAAAATAGCACTAAAATACCATTTTTATCTTTCGATAATCGATATCATACACATTAAATCAAACACCACAAATTTATATTCAATTGTAAATGTCTTTAACGATAAAGTCAACCATTTAGAATCTACTAACTGATTACAAACGTAAGAAGTGAACTGGAAAAAAAAAATGCTTATTATTAAATTATAACAAATTGTATTGATTTAAACACTTCCAAATATCCAATATAAACATTTCTTAGAAGTTTCAAAGAAGAAAATAAATTTTCATTCGAATATTTTAATCGAGAAATCTTTAATTAAATAACTCTTTTAATAACAATGTTATTTTACCCCCCCAACTCTAGAAAAATGTGGCCAAATAAAGCGTATTTTTAAAACAATATATTGAAATTTTCTGATGTTCTAGCAAATAAAATTAGTCTCTTCGAAATGCCGATGATGATAATCACTGAAAAAAAGCATTATCAAAACAAATATTCATGTAGTAACTCGAAAGAGCTACGTTACTCAACGTACTTCAGAAGTCGATGGAGCATTTTCTCTATGAATTTGTTGATGTAAATCCAATTTACGTTTCAACCAGCAACTATAATTGCATACATTGCAGCGGAATGGCTTTTGCTTCAAAGATAATCTCCTGCATTCTTTCTGAGAGTCACTTTGATTCGAATCCTTTTTCTTCGTTTTATGAGTCATGGAATGAAGTTTCAATTTTGATTCGTTTTCAAATTCTTCGTCGCAAGATTTGCATTTAAATTCTTCTGTTTCATTTTCTTTTGTAGATTCCTTGAAGAAACAAAAAGAATTTCAGTAATCAAATTTAACCTAAATACATAATAATATTATTTATTTTCTGTTCTGAAAGAAAGAATAGATTTTTAGGGACACTTCGTTAAAATTAATGAACATAGATGTCACCAGAATTCTAGTAATGAGCCATCCTAACTTTAAATCCTGAATGTCAATATGTCAGTCCTTTAAACAGAAAAGCTTTATCCCTGTATATTTTTCGTATCATCTTAAAACAGTGACCCACTATCTCACACAATCTTCTGAATGACACTAAGATTTACCTTCAGGACGCTGAGGTTCTTAAATTACTGTATTCTACAGATGCCAATGATGTGGCACGCCATATTAATAAATGGTTTCAAGACAGATTAAAAGTGTAATAAAAATCGAGGATCCATAATTTCATTTCAAATACAATGAGGATCAAAATGACAATGTCCCAGGTTTTGCTAGCTAGGTTTTGAGAGCGCTCAAGTTTTTTAAATTCTTTTTTAAGCCAACGACGACGTCACAGCAGCGATGAAGGCATTTGATCGTTATGGATGGCGCCCTTAGAAACGAAAATCCAGTAATGAGTTGCTTAACGTTCCCGGTAACCTTTAAAACTGCGTATGTGGCGCCATCTGTTATGATATTTTATTATTAAAGATTTTTATATTTTTAATTATTATAAAATGGCAAAAAGCTTTATTCTGAGGGTAGGAATGAGTTTTTATAAAAATTGCAGATGCTAATAACGAGTAAAATCGTCATTAACCCATTCAACGGGTATCTGTCCGTCCGTCCGTCCCGTAACCGTTTGATAACGGACACTAGAGGCGCCCCTATCGTGTGTCATATTTCAAACATTCAAATTAACAATTTTAATTCTTATTTAAATTAACAATATGAATTATTATTATTCATTTGACCAATAAATTATTATTTGGTCAATATAACAATATATTATTATTATAGTATATTTGTAATAGGAATTTATTATTTCAGGGGCTTATATCTCGCGAAGGGTCGCGAGTAGGGGTATGCTTCCTTTGCCTTTATTGTTCGCACAGGGGGCTACAGTTTGGGGGATCGCCACCTCTTCACCTAATCTTACCATTGGGACTTTAACAGAGCTGTACAGCTGAGTTCCTATCAATATGATAGGAACAAAAAAGTCAAAGGAACCGTGCTTCATGGAAATTTGTAAACAACGCCCACTAGGGGGCGTCCCGGGCTACTAGTAGTTACAGAAAACCCCGAACTTTTTGCATTTCTCTACGTCTCAAGGTTTTCTAAGTCTAAAATTATAAAATCCTGGGAATCAATTTTTAGCCATACTTTCTTCCCTGTTATATATAACAGCCGGAAAAGTAAAAATGTATAAAACATTGCAAAAATTTGCAAATATGGAATTGAAATTCATATCTTTCCACTCAAACAGCGGCGTACTAAAGGGAGGCCAAGGTGGACATATGCCCTGAGGTCGACCTTGGGAGCGCCATACTAAACTCGTAGAATTTATTTTTTTTTTGTAATTGACATTGAATCATTGGTTCCAGGTTAGAGGTTTTCCTCGGTTGCCAAAACTGTTCGGCACGGTTTTTACACTCAAGAGCTTGTTCAAAGAACCGTGACGAAAATCAAGCTCTTCCAAATGATAAATCTCTTTAACGAAAGAGATTTTCCACTTATTTTTTCACACTTTCGACGAGTACTAAGGCAGCCATTTTAATTATTCTCATCGAGAATTCAGTCAAGCACTCAAGAGAACGGCAGGAAAATGAACGATGCTTATCCGGATTAATCATTTTATGCAAATTTGAAACAGTCTAAACTCGAATTCTCTCCAGAACATTTTTTTATATTAAAGTATTATCTTATACATACCCGCAAAGTAGAATTATTTTAAATATTATTTACCATATTTTGTAAATCCTACGTGAACTACTTCAATATTCTTATCGTAAAAGCAATTGTTTCGTTAATTCATTGTTTCGAAGAATCAAACGTTTATGACTCTTATTGTAAACATAAAGAGAAAAATGTCAGCATAATTTAAAATACGAATAAAAGAGATTTTAATTATATTTTTGACATAATTTAAGATATAAGCTATACTTAAAAGTAATATTTTTTCCACGAGGATGGCCGAGGCATCAGCCTACCTTTCTAATGGATCTTGGATGAGTTTACTCATTGTAATCCTGGCCAAACCCCCTGGACAAACCCATTTAATTATTTAAACGAATTATAATTTGAAATGCTCAAAAAAAAAATCTTCAGAACCACAACTTAAGAATCTTTTATTTAAGATTATTTAATTAATGTGATAATGGATTTTATTAGGAAATTAGAATTTTATGATTTAATTACTAACTAATCGAGTTAAATTTTCTAAAATATATTAATTTAATTTTAAACTTGTTGGATTTCTTTGAACTCTTATTATTCAACTCTAATAATTCATTTGTGTTGAAGATTAAAAAAATTTTTGTTTGACTGAATTAGAAAATAACTAATTATCTTATGTAATTCAATCAAAACTTCGTTTATGTAATGAATAAAATTCTATATCGTGACACTGTGTCTGATATTAAGACTTGTTAATACACAATGGTGGATAAAACCACTGAACAATGGCAGTTCTTTCGTGGGTTCGCGCATCGCTAAGAGACTGGCCTCGTATTTTCTTCACGCTTGTAACACCTAAATAGGGGCCAGTTTCTTGTAAAAGTGCCCACATATCACGTTGCCGTAACCAAATAAACCAAAACTTTTTACAGCCGTCACACCGAAGTAACCATAGTTTACATACCATGAAATTCTCCACTTGTTCTTGCTGCAGGCTCGTCACTATTTGCAAGACTTCGCGTTTTGTAGGGCAGACAGTCTGTTTTTCTTACACGTGTTTATTATTCATTCTCATAAAGATAAATGAAGATCCATTAAATAGGAATAAACTGTTTAACATAACTGATTTCACTGAATTGGTTGATATAAATTTTGTGTTTTGCTGATTGAGACAAAATCCTGCAGGCACCATTAGCTTCAATAGCTGTTTTTTTTAGAACTTAAACATTGAAAACAACAGCAGAAAATCTTCTTTTTTACAATGCTCTAAGTGAAATTATCGCATGAAAAGATAAGACCACGGAGAAACTATACCATACAGAATCCATTAGGGGGATTGATGCTGTTAAATTTTGGAGATAAAGGGGATTTAATGTGTAGTGTGTATGTCCAGTAGGGTCGGACTTAATAACGATTTTACTAGTTATTATCATTTACAATTTTTTTATAAAACCCATCCCTATCATCATAATTAAATTTTGGCATTTTATAATAATTAAAAATACAAAAAGTTTATTAAATAAAATATGGTAATAAAATATGGTAAAAATGGCTCTATCAAATGTTTCCGGTAAAGTTAAGCAACTCGTTGCTGGAATATTTTAAAATTTGTTATCATACTCAAACATCTTTATTATGAATCAGTCCCATATTAGAGATAACTGGTTCAAACATAATTCAATTATACTCACTGTTAGTTTATTGCACGTAAAGCCGTAAACCATGGGCTGTCCTCTTGCATTTTATATAACATTTGTTGATTAATTCATTCTTAATAAAAGAAATTAGCAACGAGTTTTGTTACTTTCCAAGAAGAGTTTTATAAATGCTAATAAAACTTTATTAAGTTTGATCACATTCGAGATATGACATGTGACCCTTTATAACTCCCCACCCCTTCGACCTTTCACCACCAAAATTTAACTGTATCAAAACCCCTAATACACAATTAATAATTAAATAATTAATTTAAAATAAAACACTTAAAACAACAAAGAACTGTATGCAATTTAATACTTCTTATGTAAGCTTGAATATAATAAAATCGAGTTACTTACATGAATAAAAATACATCATTGTGATTTCAAGAGAAATTAATTTTTATATTTTGGAATTTTGAAAAGAAAAAAATAAAATAAAATCAAGTAATATGAGTTGTCTGTTATGTAATATCCAATTTTCTAAACTAAGATATAGTTTTATTTTTCTATATTGCAATTTATTTCGAAGGATTTTTATGAAATAGTTTCATTTATCATCGACAGAAGGCCTTATTTTGCCTGGTATAAAGATAATTTAATGCAAAATAACGCCTATATTGTTAATATAAGGCTAGTATAATATCATATAACAGCCTTATAATTTATTATATTGTCCTTGTAATGCAAATTTTATGTAATTCATACGTCATTGTCAAAAGTTGTTGTGAGCTAATTAAATTTCAATGTGACGGGTGGGCGATCTGCCGAGGAGTGATGCCTCCCGGGAGATTTTTCTATGGTAAACTAGCCCTTATTTAGGTGTTAACTATTAAATTGGTGATTAAAACACCAATTTAATGGCCCAAGATTCCCATTTATTAAACCATTAAGATTCGATTGGAGTCATTGAGAGAATCTTCCTTATATGTAAACACAAATTAATTTTTTTTCATGATGAACTCAGGATATTTTTCTTCTAATTTTCAATTAGAGATTCAGACTATGTACAAAAAATTATTTAATTTTTGAGTCTATCAATTAATCCTTTTTACACACACCATAGAAGTAGCCTTTACATTGGTTTGAAGAAATCACTTCATAAAAACGAATAACAATAGGTAAAATTTACAATTAAAAACGATCAGACGTCAGCCTTTCATTTTAGGTATCTGACGCCTTAACATTAAAAATTTAGTAAATCTTCTCACCAACTGCNATAATTCAACTACGCTTGTTGGAGAACAATAAAAACACTACACTCAACAAGCCACCAATAAAACTCAACTGCCTAACCTATAACCAAAGTCTCCTTTTAATTTGTTTTTAAAAAAAAGCGCTTGACAAACTTGCCCCGCATGCCGAAGTTGCCCCGGTCTCCCCTATATATAGAAATCCAGTCAATGTTTTGGGTTACAATCCACGACATTATTTAATTAAGTTAGAAGAATGTTAACGTAACTACCGAGTTTAATAACAATTGGTCGAACGGCCTAGGAGTTTATTGCGAACAAACAAATAAACATTCTCATTTATAGGTATAGAATAAATCTATAATTTAAATTTTGACCATTCTTGGGCGTAGGAAAGAATATAAGAAACGAAATTAATGTTTATACTTTTAAACTAAAGAAAACAATATTTTAAAAGCTGGCATTCTTTGTTTTCATCCCTAATAATTGCTACAATTATCTTTAAGTCTTTAGATTAGTTCGAAAGATATTAAGGGGGTGGGCCATATCTCCCTAAGCAATGTTCCGATTTTCCTGAAATTTTCAAGAAGCATTTCTGCCTAACACACAAATCTCCCTGCAAAATTTCAGAAATTTTCGACAAATGGCACACGATTTATTAAGCTTCAATCTGGATGAACAAAACAATGCCTCCCCAAACACATTAACAACCATATATACAAAAAAACCCTTTAACTTGATTGCATTTTTTGGATATTTTAAGGTTTTCTGAGTCCAAAAATGTAAAAGAAATAAGGGAAGGTGTCATTTTTTGACCGATTGCCATACTTTTCCTGTGTTAAATAACAGTGTAAAGTAAAAAAATATAAATAAATAAGTCGATAAATTGAATTGTACAGTACATACAAACGTAAGGACAAAGTAAAAAATATAAGCGACTATCTTGTTTTCTTCTCCTTATAAATAGAAAAGAAGAGGGATAAAGCTACATTCTATAAAAAAATATTGATAAATTCGAAGTTTCATTCAACATTCTTTACAAAGTTAAATTCATTCTAAACAATTACTTTAAAGAAAAATTATGTTTTAAATTGTTTAACAAAAGATTTAACTTTGTCTAATTAAAATTCTCCTTGGAAATTATTTGAAGAAGTTAACGATTTATCTTCTCACCCCTTTTTAAATCTATAATGTACAAATAAATAAAAATAAACTCATTTAAAACTATTTCTTCACACGACTTTTACACACTAAAATTTTTGAAAACATTCTTAAAACAGTAAAAAAAATTGTAAAATTAAATTAATTAAAAACAATCTTAAAAAACTAGCAATGTTATTGCTAGATTTACCTGGTATTCTTTACTTGTTTTGTTTCTTTTATCTCTGATAATTGCTACCATTACCTCTAACTCTTCAGATTGGTTCGAGAGATATTAAAGGAGTGGTGCCATATCTCACGAAGAAATTGGCCGATTTTCTTGAAAATTTACAGAAAAATTTCACCCTAATACACAAACCTCATTGCAAAATTTCAGGAGTTTTCGACTCCAGGTACGCGAGTTATTAAGCTTTAAATTGAGTGATAAAATCGTCCTTCCCGCACACATACATTAACATCTATATGTGCAGAATCCACCCCCCAGGATTTTTTACACTTCACGAGGTTTCAAGGTCTTAAGTTCAAAGATGTAAAAATCTTGAGGGGGTCAAAAATATCCCCTAATATTTTTTGTTTTTTCCCCTTACTTTCTCTCTGTTACACAGTATAACAGCTGGGAAGTAATATATTATTCGACTCATTTCTGTGAAGAAAATATGAATTTAGCTCTTTAAAACTTTAATTAATTCGGATATTGTTTAAATAAAATATAGAAAAATCTTTATAAATCTAACCTTTATCGAATATATATATTTTTATTTTTATTATAAAGCATACAACGACGAATATAATACACAACATACTTTACGAAGAATATTTTTAAATTAAATATTTAATTTAAAAATACGAGTTAAAAAATAATTTTAAAGTAAATATTTTATATTTAAAAAATAAATCTAACTTATTAAAAATTGATTTTTTTCTTATTAAATAATCAAAAATAAAATAATTAATTAAATCTCTAATTAAATGCTTCGTTACTGTTTATAACACAACCTTACATATAAAAAAATATATTAAATTTTAGTATTTTATATACATATTTTTTTTTCTATTTAATAAAGGAGATAAATATAACAAGATGCCATACACTACATTAATACATAATACAGATATCCTTCGTTAGCGCCTTATCAGCAATAAATCTGCTATACGAGGGCGCCACCAGTCGACAGGTGACGTTAAGTACAGTAGGGTGGACAACATAACTGTGGCAAATAGTCGACCACATGGCAATACTACATTCATGCTGCTGCTGGAAGAGTGTAAGAAGTGGGAGCTTCGCGTGCGCTATCTACACCCTGGTAAGTCACCTGCACGTTTTCCACCCTAGAAACCAAAACTCGACATTCTCTAAGGGAGAAGGGAGGAGGGAGAGGGGGTAAAATTTATATTTTCTTATAATAAAACCCCCCAAATTACGAATGCCATCGCGATTTAGAACAAATCTATTGTGACGTAACAACAATTACCGCGCGATGTAGTGTGGTAATTACTGATTTATCGTATTATTCGATAGGAAACAATGACGAAAGGGAGGAGGGGGGCTGAAATAAGTAAAATAAATAAATAAAAGTGAAGTTTTATGACGATCGAGCTATCAGAGAATCGGCGCCATTGCCTATCAAAACTCTTTTATGTCAGTCGTCTTTTAGAAATGTTTCTCATCTTAAATTGAGAAAGTAAAAGTAAAAATTTCCCGAACAACTTATACATTAAAGAGGACATTCGACTTTAAATAATAAAATTATATATATATATATATTGTTTAACTTTACGTACATAAAATATATCAACGAAGACTTATCTTTTCAATTCCACGTGCCATACGAGAAAAGTAGACTTTATAAGCTGGTAAATATCGATTAAAAATTTAAAAAATTGAATATTTTTAATGATTTTATACGAGAAATTTTATATAATTTAGTAATTTTATCTCTTTTTTTTTAGAATTGGAAGCGAATTTTTAACTTTATAACGAATTTTATTGAAAAAAATCGAAAGTTTACTTTATATAGAAGAATGGAGTTCGGTGATGGAGTATATAAAAATTTTTTAAAATAAAATAAAAATTATTATTATTATTTTTTATTATTTTCTGCATTTAATAAAGTTCACGAAATGTTTTGAAAATTTTTATTTTCGGATCGTAAAGTTTATTGCTTTATTTTTCAATCGTTTTTTAAATTAAGTAATTATCTATTTTCGAGTTATAAAAATTCGTGCTATTAAAATAAAATTTTTTAATTTATTTTTTTCGGTGTCGTATAAAGTATGGAGGTAAAAAATTATTCCCCCAAAATTTCTACACCTTTTTACTACGGGGGGAGCTTCGAAACGTGGAGAAATGCAAAAAGTTTGGCGGATTTTTTTCTGTTAGTGTGTGGGGGGCACGACTTTAATCGTCTAGTTTGAGGCTTAATAACTCTCGTACCCTTTGTCGAAAATTTGTAAAATTTTGCAGGTGGGTTTGAGTATTAGGAGGGTTGATACTGTTAAATTTTGGTGGTTATAGGTCAAAGGGTTGAAGAGATAGAGTTGATCATGTGTCATATATCCAGTGGAATCGAAACGGAGATTTTACTCGTTATTAGCATTTATAACTTTTTTTTTAATATATAAAACTATTTTCTACCCTCCTTTTCGTAATTTTATAATAATTAATAACATAAAAAGTTTTTAAATAAAATTTTGTAACAGATGGAGCCACACACGATTTTAACTTTCTTGCCGGAAAAGTTAGGCAACTCATTGCTGAATTTTTAAACGTTTAAATAAATGAATAAACTATTTATTTTTATTATTTTAATGAATAAAAAATTACACGTATTATAGATTATAAAAATTTATAACTTTTAAAGTAAATTTTTTAAGTACTGTCAAACCTGTAATAACGGCCACCTCTAAACAGCGGACATTCTTACAGGAAAAAAAGGTTTTTGAACAAAAACTCGTATAAAATAACCTTCAAACAACGACCACCTGTAAACAGCAACCATTTTTTTCTTTTATGTTTTCATCACTGGCCGCCGTTTACAGGTTTGACTGTATTAATTTTTATAGTGTTTGGTAAGATATTAATAAATGTAAACTGTAAATTTTAAGCATCATAATTTAATTAAAGTATGTATTTTTTTTATTATTTATTAATTGCTATAAGTTAAAAATAAATTTTTTACTTCTTAAAATAAACGTTTAAAAAAATAATAATAATTATGAAAGCTTATTTTTATAATTATTTAATAAGGTATCAACTTTATATTTTATACTATAAATAATTGGTTAATTTTTAAAGAAATTCTTTAAATATTTTATAATTTTAAATTTATATAAGTAATGACATTTGTTCTTGACTAAGAAGATAAATTTAAGAGTTTATGCTTTAAAAAAAATAAAAATAAATAAAACCTGTCAAGAGCTCTTGCTCGACTTTCTCAGTACTTAAATAGAGGTTAAGGGGACCATTAGAAAGTATCATAATTTTCAATTATACTAGGATATAAAATTTAAGTAACAGAAAAAAAGCTTAAAATGAGAAATTGTTGTTGAATTATAATAAAAATATCCATTAAAATATACGCTACTACTACGATACTCGCAGTTAAAATTGTGTGTGTGGCGCTATACGTTCTGAAATGTTATGAAAAATAACTTTTATATTATTAATTATTATAAATTAATAATATAAAAGTTATTTTTGAGAGTAGAGATGAGATTTTAGAAATATTATATCCTATTAAATTGTTATTAAGTCCGACCGCACTCGAGATACGACACATGAACTTTATTCCAAAACTTAATCCCTTATATACCAGTTTCCACGCCTAATTTCGTTGCTTAATCTTTACCACAATCTGAGATATTAAACGTAATAGACCAAAGCACACACACACGCGCACACACACACACAATACAAAACAGAGTAAATAGAGACAACACAGAAAACACACTAAAATTAAGAGTTAAGAGTAAAATTAAACATATACAGTTGATCTTCTAATAACGGCCACCTCTAAACAACGGCCAAGATTTTCTTCAGATACTTTTTCTTAACAAAAAATGCGTACAAAGTAACCTCCAAACGACGGCCACTTTTTACGTTCCTCGTTATTCGGAGGTTTGACTGTATTAAATTTGAAAACGATTTTATAATTCTAGAAATTTATGGATCCGTATTATTTTCATTATGCAAAATATCGTGAAGAAAATGCAAAGTTAGAAAGTTTAACTTTTTATGGATCGTAACTTGAGCATAAAAACCTGTAAAAAATTTCATATTGAAATTTTTATTATAGAAAATTTATACGTTTTTTATTCTATTAAAGTAAAAAAAAAACAACCCCGATTTTACGTATCTTTTTACAATAATTTTTATGAAGTACAATTATATTACGCGAGATGCAACGGCGCGCGAGAGCAATCGAGTCGCGTGCTGATTAAGCACCACCCCTATTTTCATTTACGTCAAAATAGTAATGTATTTTAAAAGAAAAATAATAAATTAAATCGCTAATGCCCTCTTCTAGCATCAAAATATTATTTTTATTATTATTTTAATAAATATAAATAACATTAAATAATAAATTACAGTGGATGTGATCGGTTAACGAACACATGTTCGGATAACGAACAAACACAAGAAGCGACGTAAAATAATGAATACCGATTGGTTTTCTCTTGTCTTCGAGCAACAATTCGAAACTTTTCGGAGCTCGGAAGACGTCGACATCGACGCTCAACCCGGTATATATACTGATCGGATAGTATTCCTCCAAACTTTGAAACTCCCCTTTCTAATTCCAGTCTTTTATTTTTCTGACAGAAACAATTCTTTTATAGTATTCCCGATACTGTCGGGCGGGCACTCGTTAAGTTTTGAGTATAATAGCAAAGGTAGAGAGTGGGCAAAAGATGTCTGATGTTGCTGGGTAGTATGGCTTGAATAGGTCTACAGTAAGCCGCGGTTCAATCTTATCTAAGAAAGATGCAGTATAATTAAGAGGACTCGGGAAGCTTAAGGAGTAACAAAAATCACATCTGAGAAATAAAGAGCATTGAAGAACTCATAATGGAACCTGAAACTGATGACAGAAGAACACCAAGAAACTGGGAGAGATATGTTTTCTTCTGAAAAAGAGGATTAATTCCGATATCTGCTATTAAAGATCTTTTGAAGAAGTGGGAGGATGTCAGAACAACGGTCTTAGAATGGCATCCTAACCAGGTTGAGGTTAATAAGTTTAGGGATCTCTACAATTACAATGCTATTAATTACTAATGAAAAATCTTGAAGAAAAGAGAAAATAAATCGACATTAGACAGATTCTTTATGTTCTTTAACCGATCACCCACTGTAATTTAAAGTAAACTATTGAATATTTTAAATACAGTCGAACCTCTAAACAGCGGATTTTTGAACAAAAATGCATACAAAATAACCTTCAAACAGCGGCCTCCTCTAAACAACAGCCATTTTTTATTTTCCCTTTTATTGGCCACCGTTCAGAGGTAATTTGGAAAGACATTTTAAAGGTAGACACGAATTCCCCTTAGTGTTATATATTTTTCTAATAATTTTATATAAAATAAAATATTTTAAATTAAATTTTTACCTTTTACTTAAAGAATCGGTAAATTTTAAATAAATATTCTTCAACTTCTACAGCTAAGAGTTAGAAAGGAAATGATCTTTTCCCTAAGCATCGTCACCACTAGTAAACATCATTTTTATTCTTTTTCTTCCTTCAAGCTATCTCATAAAATAAATAAAAAAAATTCCTACAAATTATTCCTTTTGATGCCTTTAAGAGGAAATAAATGCTTAAGTAATAATCTATAAAACATAAATTAAAACACCGAACTTTATCCATTAAAATCGACGAATTTAGTTGAAAGAATTTCCTCTTTTGCAGACATTCTACATAATTGTAGTGACTGCTAGTGCCTTTCATGTTAATCTTGCCCTTGGAACGCCTTGTAAGTATAGAAATATATAATTTATATCTGTTTAATTCATGATGTTAACTGTTAAACCTCGATATAGCGCTATCCTCGCAAAGTTCCAATTCGTACTCCTAAACGAACAAAGTATTATAGACCCCCCGAATTATTAAATGTATGAATTTTTTTTATTGTTATCGCCTCCTCCTTCCTATTATTAGAAGTAATTCAGTTTAGACCCACAATCGATTTCAGGGGGTTAATTAACAAAGCGCTAAATCGAAGTTTAATTGTAATAGTAAAATGGTTCATACCTAAGATTATTGTAGTTCTCCTTTGTTAATCTAGAAAAGGGGGGTGACCCTGATAAAGTATATACGGTCCTATCGGGACCGGAAGTCACGTGTTTTTTTAAATTAAAAAGACGATTAAAAATTGCAACCCAGTATTGTGACGACATCACAATAAATGATCGGTCATTCCACTTTAGAAATCGTATTTAAATACTTATAATAAATATATTTAAGTTTAATTTTTAATTAATTTTACGTAATTATTTGTATTTAAAAATATTATTATAATTATCTCTGACAATTGAATGACAATTAATTGAAGTAGAGATTTGAATAATATTTTTACGTAAGACAAAGAGAATCGTGTTACATAAATTTCCATTACTTTAATGAAAAGATTAAATTTATAAACAGATTAAAGTAATTTTATTTCCTTAAATAAGTCGATTACTATTTAAATTATAGAATTAATTCGTTTCGAATTTGATTTTTACCTTAATTAATAACACCTGAACTTTTACAAAGTTTGTAAGAATTTATTTTATTTATTTATTTTTGTGTTATTATTATTATTAATTTTTTTAAAGGAATATTTTGTGGTTAATACGGTTATATAATGCAATTTTGAATCTTCTTCTATTAAATTGCTTAATTTTTTATTGAAAATTGCAATACAAATTAAGCAATTTATAAAGAAGTGAAGTTCGTTTTTCTATTGTTACTGAGTGATTTAAGTCTCGTCCGTCTGTCTATACGTCTGTTTTCTCTTAATGTCGAGAACGGTGTTAGATAAATAAAAATTCAAATGTGGAAAGCTTAGGGCAAGAGGCCCAAATTGTAAACTTCCGATGCAAACCGGAAATTACGTTATTTTAATTCAAAAACTTCTCTCCTAAAAGGAATTAGATAGATAACCGGCACGACTCCATTGCTAACGAAAAAGTATGATATACAGGGGCAAGACAGTACTGATTTGAGATGGAGAGCATATATTTTAAATTAAATAAATTCAAAAAATATGATTTTTTCAATGAACTTTGCACGATTTTTCAATAAATTTTCATGATTTATCAATAAATAAAAATTTCTTTGTTAAAAAAATCATTTTGTCAGGAAAATAAATATAAAATTTTCTATATTATAAATAGAATTTTTAATAAAATAATTAATTGTACAGAAATGATACGAAGCATTCGATAAAATATAAATTTGATGTACAGAAAAAATTGTTTAAAAAATAAATTGATCTACATCATATTTAATGAGGGCTGCCTGAAGCATTTATGTAGTACGACGCGCCTGTTGTTCGACGCGACCCGACACGACGCGATCAACAATAAAACTTGATTTATCAACTCTCTTCCACAAAACACTTAAAACTCTACGCGTAATAACTAAAACATTAAACTAAATAAACAAAAAAGTACTATTAATTTTTAATATACAAGTAACTTCGATTCGAAATGTACAAAACGAAACTTCGCATCGCGTCGCGTCGCGTGGAAGAAGAGAGAAAGAGAGAGAGAGAGAACACTAAAACAGTTCGAGAAAACAATTTTAAATTAAAATAATTAATTTAATAATAATAAAAATAACAAATTAATTAATTAAATAAACATTTTTTCTACAATTTTTTATTGCAGGGTTATTTATATTCAGTTTATTTGCCTTGATATTCTCCGGATTTTGTGTCATTTCATCAATCCTCTTATTGGTGGGATTATGCGTGGTAAGTACAAATATGCAAAACATTTGTCACTATATACGTATATAAAATCTATCTACGACTAGTTATAAGGGAGGAGGAGGAGAAGGAGGAGGAAGAGGAGGAGGAAGGATTAGTTTCCACATGGAATTATTCATAGAGAGGAGGATGTAGAGACAAATCTGATTATTATATGTCGTACTTTTATGATTCATTTTAGTAATCTCTTTTTGTAGGACAACCATTTTCTTCTCTTACCTTGGGTGATTTCAGTTTCCATGACAACATTGTTAGACATCTTCCTCTCTTTTTATTTAATAGCCGATGTGGTGAGTATCTACTTCCTCTACATCGATTTTTTTTCTTTCTTTCTTCTTTGTTTCTTCTTCACTTCTTTACTTATAACACACGAGCATTCATTTCACAGTTGAAATTTTTTGATTTTATTTCCTCTCATTCCCTATAACTAATGATAATAATTCTTTCTCTGTCTCCCCCATTTTTTATTCTTAGATGCGATTTTCCAACTATCAATATCCTGTTTAATATCGAGTAATTTTCTTTTTCTTTTGTTTAAATATATAGGGCCTATAATAAATAGGGAAAGTTTAAATATATATATATATAAATCACATAAGGAAGCCCAATAAAAATATATATAAAATAATTTATCTTTTATTGCTTTGGAATTCAAAAGAATTTTTGATCTGTTTCCAGTTTGAATATGAAAAAAATATATATTTTAGAATGTGTTAGAATAATTATTATTATAATTAAATTGTAGATAATTTAATGACCCAAAAGTTAGTTAACTTTATATAACGATTGATGAGTTATGTATAATATACAGGGTGGCTCAAAAGTCAGTTTACAGAAATAGTTAACCACGAACAACAACACTCGGCTGTTTTAATCGTTCTTAGAATGGTACTTAAACACATCTCCTGTTAAACGACTTCTGGGCCACCTTGTATGTTTATACACAACCTAAATTATTATTACTTTTTTTTAAAAAGGAAAAAGGAAAAAAAATATTCAAATTTAATTTGTTTTTATTAAAACATCGAAGTTTTATTTTACTAATTACACGAATTTTTAATTTTTTTTTTTATTTTATTTAGAAAATTGCATTTGAATTTAAATAATTTATTTGTTTATGTATTAAAAAAAATTAGATTTAAATTTCGTAAATAAGAATTTAATTTTGTTTTCTTTTTCTATAGAAATTCTAATAAAAATCTAAATTTTTTATAATATATTTTGAATTCGTTGGAATGAAAAATTACATCTTTATTTACTATGAAAATTGTACTTTTGAACTGTGTTTGTAATTTATAATAAAAATTGTTCCAAGTTTATATTCTTGAAAATTCCTATTTTTTTTTAAACGATAAGTAGATTTAAAAATTACTTTTAAGAAGAATTTTACCAGTTTACAATCCTTTAAAACATCAGGAACTATTTATTATACTGATATACCAATACATGTGTACTTAGCTCAAAAATATGGCCAATTTTCTGGTAGAAAGGATGCATTAATAAATATAGGAAAATATTAGTATTCTCCTGGTTTTCTCTCTAGCTCTAGTTACTGTACAATGTCAATAAGAAAGTATATTTATGCATCCCTCTAGAAAATCGAACACTAGCTCTTAGCTGATATCATACACGAAACGAGCTATTCAATAAGATTATTGCCTCTTCAGATATCAAAATTAAGTGTTAATAAAATTATTTTAATAACTACAAAGTAATTATCTGTTCGGAAAAGACTTATACATTACAGTTGATAAAGTAACACTTTGTATAACTTGTTCTGTATTGTCTTTTATGAGCTGCTAAAGGTTTTATCAACCTCTATCAGCTCATAAACCCTTTACCAAATATTCTTAACATTGAATTTAGTAATTAAATTGCCATAAAGGTGAAGCGAAACTATTGTTTAAAAGTCTCGTTCCATTACTACAGAAACTAAAAAGTGTACTCGTGAGCCATTTAATGCACTTCGTTTCGATTTATTTCTGGAGTATATTAAGCATTTCTAAGAATTAATCGTGTGTAAAGAGTAATATGTGAAACAGTTAAGCACGGTTAGTGAATTTTGTTTAATTGAGGTTAAGAATGTCTTAGTTAGAAACACTGTGAAGTCAAATCTCGATAATTCAATCACTCTGCTTTATTTAGTGACGATGTAACGAGTGGAAAAAGGAAGAGAACTGACTAAACAAACGACAATACTAAGAGACTACTCGATGTACATTAGGGAAATTTAATTTATTTGAGTAGAATTAAATAAACTACATACAACTTAACGTATGAAAGAAGGGAAAAAATGATAAGACGGATGAAGGACACAAACAGCATTTAAAAGCAAGTTTCACAAGCATTTTATTGTAAATTATTATCGCAAACGATAATATAAATCAGTTTTTTATGTTATAAAATTAATATATTAACGTTATTTTTAAAAATTAACCAGAAAAATTATTTATTCCTGCATCTTTTTCCTGTCAAAGGTTTAAGTGATATGCGATGAAGCGGTCTTTACGGGGGCTAAGCTTTGGTTTTCTAGTTACTAAACGCACTTTGTGTTATTTCAAATCATTTTAGACAAAGTAAATAATTGAGAAAAACATTTTTAATGACAATAAATATAACCTTGCATTCAATATTATGAAATTCAGATAAAATACGCCATAAACGAAGTTAGAATTACATAAAATCAATAATTGAAGTGAGATAAACTAGATCAGTTTATTTCAGATGCACGGCGTAGGAGTTTAGATGCAGATAAATTTATTAAAAATTACTCTAAATGTGGTCCAAAAATCAATTAACTAATATAACTTAGCTAAGACATGTCTTATTTAACTGACTTTTGGGCCACCCTGTTAAAATTCTACGATAAAAATGTATTATCATCATATTTTTAATATATAAAGAGTGTTCCAAAAGTTAGTTAACTTTATATAACGATTGATGAGTTATGTATAATATACAGGGTGGCTCAAAAGTCAGTTTACAGAAATAGTTAACCACGAACAACAACACTCGGCTGTTTTAATCGTTCTTAGAATGGTACTTAAACACATCTCCTGTTAAACGACTTCTGGGCCACCTTGTATGTTTATACACAACCTAAATTATTATTACTTTTTTTTAAAAAGGAAAAAGGAAAAAAAATATTCAAATTTAATTTGTTTTTATTAAAACATCGAAGTTTTATTTTACTAATTACACGAATTTTTAATTTTTTTTTTTATTTTATTTAGAAAATTGCATTTGAATTTAAATAATTTATTTGTTTATGTATTAAAAAAAATTAGATTTAAATTTCGTAAATAAGAATTTAATTTTGTTTTCTTTTTCTATAGAAATTCTAATAAAAATCTAAATTTTTTATAATATATTTTGAATTCGTTGGAATGAAAAATTACATCTTTATTTACTATGAAAATTGTACTTTTGAACTGTGTTTGTAATTTATAATAAAAATTGTTCCAAGTTTATATTCTTGAAAATTCCTATTTTTTTTTAAACGATAAGTAGATTTAAAAATTACTTTTAAGAAGAATTTTACCAGTTTACAATCCTTTAAAACATCAGGAACTATTTATTATACTGATATACCAATACATGTGTACTTAGCTCAAAAATATGGCCAATTTTCTGGTAGAAAGGATGCATTAATAAATATAGGAAAATATTAGTATTCTCCTGGTTTTCTCTCTAGCTCTAGTTACTGTACAATGTCAATAAGAAAGTATATTTATGCATCCCTCTAGAAAATCGAACACTAGCTCTTAGCTGATATCATACACGAAACGAGCTATTCAATAAGATTATTGCCTCTTCAGATATCAAAATTAAGTGTTAATAAAATTATTTTAATAACTACAAAGTAATTATCTGTTCGGAAAAGACTTATACATTACAGTTGATAAAGTAACACTTTGTATAACTTGTTCTGTATTGTCTTTTATGAGCTGCTAAAGGTTTTATCAACCTCTATCAGCTCATAAACCCTTTACCAAATATTCTTAACATTGAATTTAGTAATTAAATTGCCATAAAGGTGAAGCGAAACTATTGTTTAAAAGTCTCGTTCCATTACTACAGAAACTAAAAAGTGTACTCGTGAGCCATTTAATGCACTTCGTTTCGATTTATTTCTGGAGTATATTAAGCATTTCTAAGAATTAATCGTGTGTAAAGAGTAATATGTGAAACAGTTAAGCACGGTTAGTGAATTTTGTTTAATTGAGGTTAAGAATGTCTTAGTTAGAAACACTGTGAAGTNATATATAATAATGATATTAGAATCTCTTTTGTATATAGGCAGTCTCTTGAGATATACATGAGATAATGAGCGTAAAAAGTTTTTAAAATTTTAATTAAGAACGGCTGCTTAACGTTGATTGCTTGATGAAGAAGAAACTGACACAAGTGGGCGTAAAAGTGGGCGTGTATTTTATTTTTTTCTACCAATCCTCTTTAAGGCTTTTTCAAATTTATACTTTAATTAATTAATGAGATCTGAGAGGATTATTTATATCTTTTTTGCATTTAATTAATTTATTTCAACCAATAATTTTCTGAAAATTGAATTCATAGAAATAGACAGAAAAGGTTTCACAATTTGCTAGGCCCGTGTAAAATGTAGGCTAAGTGTGCACCTTTTTGAAGAGGTTCAAGGATCAAGCATTAACCAAAGGCATGGTTTCTCTAAGGCTTAGAGGGGCTTAGACTTTAAGCCTTTCTAAGTGCGGATGCAAAGGCTTATCTATGCAACCAGCTTTATACAATAACAGAGCCCAGTTTAAATATTCCATACAACAATATAATACTTTTGAATTCTTCATAGTACAGTAAAACCTGCGTAAACCGGAATCTCGCAGTATCGAGTATTTTCTCCCGTTAGGCAGGTTTTACTGTATGTACAGTCTTTATGCAGGCCGTAAAAATAATTTTTGAATCTGTTACGCTACTATCAAACTCTTTGTTCTATACTCACACTTTATATTTATAATTAAAGATATAATATTTATTTATATAAATTGGATTTTATACATTGTCCTTACATCAAGATAGATATATTTTTTTTTTATTCTTTTAAAGTTATATAAAGTTTATTTTAGTGTGTTTATATACTGAAACCAGTCACATTTACGTCAGTATAAGTTATCACTTCACCCTTTAGATGATGAATTTGTTTTACGTCTACAAACAACCAAACTGAAGGCTCGTTTCTTACTTTTATNTTTTTTATTCTTTTAAAGTTATATAAAGTTTATTTTAGTGTGTTTATATACTGAAACCAGTCACATTTACGTCAGTATAAGTTATCACTTCACCCTTTAGATGATGAATTTGTTTTACGTCTACAAACAACCAAACTGAAGGCTCGTTTCTTACTTTTATTTGTCGTAGAACATTCACACCAATTCTCGTGTGGCAAGTATATCTTGATTTAGTGGCCACCCGATATAGTGAACTTTCAAAATAATGAACAAGTTTATCCTTTTCTATTCTTTATATGGTGAACGATTTAGCACAGACCTTTGAGAATTCTCTACGTCTAACTCACTATATCGTATATAAGTTATACAGTGGACTGTTTGATACAGTAATTACCCGATATAGTGAACAATACTGTTATTTCTTGCTATTCTTTATGTATATAGAGAGTGATTTTGATAGGTTTTTTTTGAGAATTCTCTATATCGAACCCACTATAAGTTATAGTGATTATTCGATATAGTGAACAATTTTGTTAGTCTTAGCTGTTCTTTACGTTCACTATATCGAGTGTCTACTGTATAAAAGCCTATATAAAAGAAGGCTTGTTTTATAAATGGCATTGTGTGCATTGTTTATAAAAACAATGCACACAATGCCATTTAGAAAACAAGATTTTAATGTCACAAAACCAAGTTATTATTAATTATTCCTAACGTATTGTATTACACGTTAAACACGGTCATTCTTTTATCCAAAAATAACAATAATTATCATTCAGTTACTTAAAAATTCATCCTATAATGGAAAATTTCAGTAAAAATACCGAGGAGAGTAAGTCAAAAAATTCTACGACTTGAAACTAGATCATTTTACAAAATAAGATGCGATGAGAGCGTTAGAATTAAGTACATTTTAAGAAAAAAGTAAAGTGGATTATCGGAAAAATTTTTAAAATAAATGACAAAAAAAAATCTCTTAGGATGATAATTATTAAAATGGATTGGATTTCCACCCTTAATTAGTCACGCTCTTCGAAAAAATCTCTAGTCACATCATCTTATATTAAATATAAAAGCTATCTTCTATTATCAGACTTCAATTTAGATATTAAATTTCTTTATATTTGAAAATAAAATAAATTTTCGGCAGATTTTCCTAAGCGAATTATTCACTCTCATTTACTAAAACACGAAATAACACTTGGTAGGTTGTTGTATCGACTTAATTTGTCGCACGTGTTTTACCTCCCCCCAAAACACGAACAGTACAAAAAGCCTTCTCTGATATGTTGTAACGTGTTATATGGGGGTAAACGTTGTAAAGGGGGAAGTTTTATACGAAGAAGTGAGACTCTTTTATACTGGTTAATCATCTGTTACTTTGATTTAAAATATAATTATTATTAAATAGTATCAATTAAGATTATAATTATAAAACTAAATACTTATACCTGTTATATTTTTAGACAATTGATCCAGTTTTGGGGGCACTTTTCGTTATAGATATCGTTATTTCTGGATTAAATGTAAGTTTAGAAATTTATATATTTTTTTTTTTTTTTTTTTTACGATTTGTACAGTTAAACCCCGTTATTACGCTATCGAAGTCTGCGTTAAATCGAAGTAGATTCGCCGTAGAGAAGGAAGAATAAGTATTTTAATGTTTAATGACTTAATAAGATATAGAATTGCTTGAAAATCCTTTAATATAATGCTGAATTCTTAAACGTAATCAACAAGAGAGAAAGTCATTATCTAAAGGATTTCTCATCTCTAAAAAAAAATTGCAAAAAATATTGAAATTTTTAGACATTTTTCACGTTTTAAACCCCCTGAATTACGCGTTTTTCTTTCATTCGCTGAGTTTTATCTATTTATCAATTTACATCCCTTGGTTCGGCTTTAATGATTCTAGAGAACGTTATTGTGAGGTATGATTAATTGAGTTGGGTTTACTTTTGTCACATTAATGAATGTTAGAAAGTCGCAATGAAAAGACATTGTAATGAACGTGTCACACGTTACAGAAAATTAAATGCATACTTTGTAAATTGAAGAAAATGGAAGAAAATATTCAAATTATATAATCTCCATCTGTGATTAATTCAGATTATCAACGATTTTCTTATTAATATACTCCCTATTTTGTTACGTAATACATCAAAACATGTGTAAACCGAATCGCATAATACCATTTTTTTTGTTTATGGCAGCGCGACACTTGGACAATCTGACTTCCGGAAGGACTTTCCACGTGCTACTCCCCTATTTAGGTGTTACGAACGTGATGTACGCCAGGAACCACGTGGCAAGTCCTGTAATGAGGCACGAACCCACGACTAACTACCATTATTCGGTGGTTTTATTCACTCCGGTTAATTTTTCCAGTTTACGAGTTTTCGTTTTAAACAGGTTTTACTGTTTTATAATTGTTATATATGTTAATCTAAGTATCTTTCGAAAAATAATAAAATTAAGTTTTATTATTTATATATTTGAGAAATTTAAATTAATTACTTTCTATAGACAGCTTTATTTAATTATAATAATAATTAAAGATGTAAAAATAAAAAATATATATAATAATGATATTAGAATCTCTTTTGTATATAGGCAGTCTCTTGAGATATACATGAGATAATGAGCGTAAAAAGTTTTTAAAATTTTAATTAAGAACGGCTGCTTAACGTTGATTGCTTGATGAAGAAGAAACTGACACAAGTGGGCGTAAAAGTGGGCGTGTATTTTATTTTTTTCTACCAATCCTCTTTAAGGCTTTTTCAAATTTATACTTTAATTAATTAATGAGATCTGAGAGGATTATTTATATCTTTTTTGCATTTAATTAATTTATTTCAACCAATAATTTTCTGAAAATTGAATTCATAGAAATAGACAGAAAAGGTTTCACAATTTGCTAGGCCCGTGTAAAATGTAGGCTAAGTGTGCACCTTTTTGAAGAGGTTCAAGGATCAAGCATTAACCAAAGGCATGGTTTCTCTAAAGGCTGGTATACACGGTAAGGAAATCCTCAAAGGATGTGCTTAACAGACGAAAAAAACTCGGATATAACCGGCTGGATCGAACATAGTAATTTACAAAACTTATTAAAATATCTCCCAACGTATAAATAATTATTTTTATTTAAAAATGGATAGATAGAAAAAAAAACACGGTTAATCCTCAAAGGATTTCCTTACCGTGTATACCAGCCTTAATGCTTAGAGGGGCTTAGACTTTAAGCCTTTCTAAGTGCGGATGCAAAGGCTTATCTATGCAACCAGCTTTATACAATAACAGAGCCCAGTTTAAATATTCCATACAACAATATAATACTTTTGAATTCTTCATAGTACAGTAAAACCTGCGTAAACCGGAAT